GTGTGTGTGTGTGTGTGTGTGTGTGTGTGTGTGTGTGTGTGTGTGTGTGTGTGTGTGTGTGTGTGTAGCCCTTTCTGGTTATTGGCACAATAAAATGATTGACTCTTATTTTTGAAACAGTGTTTCGCTGTGTTGCCTAGGCCAGTCTTGAACTTGTGAGCCTAAGTGTTCTTCCTGAGGAGCTGGCACTACAGGTTGCACCGTTATGCCCAGCTTAGCTTAAAAATTTATTTTTATTTTATTTTATTTATTTTAGAGAGAGAGAGAGAAGGGAGAGAGAGAATTTTTTAAAATATTTATTTCTTTTTGGTGGACACAACATCTTTGTTTGTATGTGGTGCTGAGAATCGAACCCAGGCCGCACGCATGCCAGGCGATCGTGCTACCGCTTGAGCCACATCCCCAGCCCCCCCAATTTTTTTTTAAAGGATCAGAATCTATAGAACATTTTTAATTTAAAAAGTTCAAATTAGTTTTTCCACTAAAAGATATTAAGCCATTACTTTCTAAGAATTTTCGTAAAACATTTTATTTCTTACAAAGATAAATGGGTATTATAAATTCATAAAAATCTGTACAGACTTTTGGATATGAAATTATAAATTGCTTTTATTGTGTTACTTTATGTAGAAAAAAAGTGAATCAATCTAGATAAGCTGTGCAAGTGCTAAGTTAATTATTGTCTTCCACACTATTCCAGAAAGAGCAGAGCAGTTCTAGAGCATGCACACTAATTTCAGACTGGGTGGCTGGGGAACGGCGTGCTGAGGCTCACCCTCTTCCCTGGAGCATGTGTGCAGCCTTGTGAGCAGAGGTGCTGGCTTATCATTGTGCCTCAGTGCTGTGACCACTGCTGTGAGCGGAGTGGAAAGAACGCAGGCTTCTGTTTCTCCAAGCCTAAGATTACAGTTGCATGTGGTGCACTGGATTTACACTGAAATCATAATTAGCATAATTTCTATCTTTGCTTTGATTTTACAAACTTTTGTAAGGGTGATAGCCATTATTTTAAGACTCAATTTAAAATTCTAGTGTTTTATCTATTTAAAAAAATAGGAGATACTGAGCCACTCTGCCAATGACATACCTAAAGGTCTTTCTAAATCTATTCTTATTTTAGTTGCTGCCTTTTGTTGTGACATTATAAAGGACTGCAGAATGTCCCCAAAAGGGCAACCACCACATGAGCTTGCTTCTTCTGTGACCTCTTTTTCCCCACTTGGAGTCGTTCACTGGCACTTTTGTGATGTAGTGGTTCTAAAGACTCAGGCAGAGAGTCAGCTCTGCCAGTTGCAGGCTCTGTAGCCTTGGCAAATGAGGTGGCCACCCCTGTCCACTTTGGGTAGCAGTACTGGCGGGCTCAGGGACTGCTGTGAAGAGCAGACGAATGTGTGGAAGGTATGGAAATCACTTAGAATGGTGCATGGCACATCAGCCTCAGTCAATGCTAGTTATTATTTTCGGGATTTTATGAGGCTTAAATTAAATGGGATTATACATGTAAAATGATTAGCAGAGTGTCTGGCATTTATTAAGTGCTCAGTAGATGCTAGTGGCTCTAATTTAAATATTCTGGTGCCTACATGTCTAAAGACGTGTGCCTTTGGATCTCTGCATGTCATATTGTTAGTTAATTTATTTTAGGGCACTAGAAAAAAGAAACTAGTTTCTATATTGGCCTTTCTCAATAGGTACAAGTTACAAAGTTAAAGTTTAACAAATATGCAATTACTTTCTGATTTCTAAGTTTAAATTATTTCTTATTTCAAGTTTATATTTACTTTTAGTATTAAAAGGTGTAGATGTTGATTAACATCACCATTTAGTGAAATCTCAAAAGGCCTGTCAATATCTAACCTGAGTTTCCTCTTCTTTTGTTATCTTCTTTACAGGTTTGTGGAATCTTGCGTCTCTCTTTTCCAACCTTTGTTTATTTGTGTTGATGCCCTTTGCATTTTTCTTTCTGGAATCAGAAGGATTTGCTGGCCTGAAAAAGGTAAGTAAATAGAATTTTGGAATTAAGAAGTAAATGTCGGGCTGGGATTGTGGCTCAGCGGTAGAATGCTTGCCTCAAGAGTGCGAGACCCTGGGTTTGATCCTCAGCACCACATAAAAAAATAAATAAACAAAATAAAGGTATTGTGTACAACTAAAAAATAAACATTAAAAAAAGAAGTAAATGTCATTTATGTTGAACTGAAGATCAAACAAGCATTTGAATAGAATATAAAAAGTTTAATAAATAATATTAAAAACACATTTTAGCAATAATAGTAATATTGCACATTGAATCATTTTGTATGTTTATGGGGAAAGTTCTCCATCAATCCTGTATATGTTTGTGCTGTGCATTACTCTAGTGGAGTATTCCTTTGGAATAGATAAACCTATAGGGTTGGTGTTACTGCTTTCTTAGGTAATCTCATTCAATTTTAGAGTTTGATATGAGATTCCAAAAATCCTAAAATACATCTTGATGTAAAAGTTATCTCACATACAATATTTTCAGGGTAGTAGCACATTATAAAATCGGATATGCTTTATTAGGTAGTCAAATTCCCAGGATACCAAGAGTAACTAATCTTAGGTAAATGTGGAAAGCTTAGAAGTGGGCAAACTGGGAAACTTCTCAGGAACTTCTTAAACTAATCAAGACTTTAAAAGAGGCAGTACTTTAGTCTATCCTTGAAGATAGTATTTTCAAAAAATTTTTTATTTATTCTTTTTATATATAACAGAATGTATTTTGACATTCCCATTCTTTTTTAAATTTAATTTTTTTTTTTAAATTTCCCCTTCTTGTGGTTGTGCATGGTGTGGAGTTACACTGGTGGTGTATTCCTATATGAGCACAGGAAAGTGATGTCTGATTCATTCTGCTATCTTTCCTATTCCTGTCCCCCCTCCCTTCCCTTAATTCCCCTTTGTCTAATCCAATAAACTTCTTTCTCTGCCCCCACCTTATTATGTGGTTAGCATCTGTACATCGGAGAGAACATTCAGCTTTTGGTTTTTGGGGATTGGCTTATTTCACTTAGCATGGTAGTCTCCAGTTCCATCCATTTACCGGCAAAAACCATAATTTCATTCCTTATGGCTGAGTAATATTTCATTGTGTTATATACCACATTTCTTTGAATACAGTATTTTAAAGAAAAAGAAACTAGGTTCTATTTATAACCTATGCAGTTCTTTGTCATAAATTTTTGGAATATAATGCAAATGCAAAGATTTAAGTACATTAATACCTTTTAAATGATTTTTAAACTTGCAAAGTGAGACTAGTGTTACAGTTTAGCATGTTTTGCCTTTCTGACTTTTAGTTCTATTCAGTATGTTGTGGTGGCATACAGAATGAAATGTGCCTGTATATCTTATTATCGAATAATAGTATAATGCTAATTCAGAAAATTTGGCTTGGGAAATTGTAAATTGCATGTGAATTGTTATTACTTTTCATCTTGTATAACTCTCTATGGGATCATAGAGGTGAAATTATTTAACCATTTGATAGCTCTTCTGACTTTAAACCTTAAATACCATACATTTTAAAGATGCAGTGCGTCACTGGGGTGATGATCACAGTGCTGTTCCCATGGACTCATGGGAACAACTGTCTGGCTGTTATTCCATAGGTGAACGTGTTGCAGCTAGCTGAAAAGGAACATTGAGAAAACTGGCTTTTGTATGTTGGACATTTTTTAATCCTGTTATATTATTAAGATTGGCAATTAAATTTATATACTGTTAAGAATTGTATTCTTTCAACTTAGAAAGCTGTTTGCTGGTTTATATTTTCTTGAAGAAATAATATAAAATATTATTGCTGAAAGGGATTTAGTTCAAATTCTTCTTCTATAAGGAGAAAACTGATATTAAATTGTGTCAAATTGTCTGTGAGCCATCCATGTAAAATAGCACAATTAGAACAGAATATATAGGGTCATGTCTGACCCTCCCCAGGTCGGTGTTCTTCATAGTCAGCACTCTGGAGAGCACAAGAAAAGCCAGTAGGAAGATGAGGTGGCCGAGGACAGAACGTGAATGTGAAACACTGTCAGAAGAGAGGCGCAAGGAAGAGTTCTGACACTTTCAGCTAGTGTGAGGAAAATGGGGTGACCACCTGGAAGCCAAGGGACAGAGAGTTCCAGGAGATGCTTACCACTAAAGTGGAACTAAAAAGAATGAACAGAAGAAAAGGGGCATTGGAGACTATTGAAACGGTGGGCTTCTGTAGCATCTTGGAGTTTGGAGGTAGATCTTTTGATGGACATTTATTCCAAGAGTTTTATGAAGTAGTCTACTACTAGTTAGTGGTTATTGTAGGCATTAACCATCCTCTAACTACTAGTTAGTATTATAGGAAATTTCTAGGGACACAAATAAAGAAATGGGTCTCCTGCTTCCAAGGAAACATGGAGAACTTACAGTTGCAAACCAGATGAACTTATTACAGTTTGATGAACATATTCATGAGGTGCTAAGGAAGAGGCTGAAAGAAATGGTTATCTTGTTCTGCTGTGCACTAGGGGCAGGCTGTGAGGAGGAGGCCAGCTGGGATTGAGCTGGGATCTGGTCCACCAGCAGTGTTTGCTAGAGTATGACGTTCCAAGCTTGAGCCATGGCCTGGAACTCTAATGGAATTGAGAGAAATGGCTGGTACCTAGATGTGAACCATGAACAGTCAAGATGCACAAGTAGCCCTCAGGGTCAGGTTCTGGAAGCACTGATCCTCTGCCAGGCAGTTTGGATTCTGTGCTGTAGACAACAGGGAGCTGGCATTTTCCCATGAGGATTTTTGCATCTATCATTTCATTTAAGTGAATCACACATTTTAGAGTTTCTGCATGTGTCACAAAGTAAAGGAGCATCAGGGAGCACATGGGCCAGGGAGTGCTTGGCACTGAGTTTTGTAGAAAGATCATATGCATCCAGCTCTGCTCAATAGAACATTTTTGTCTATGTCACAAAAAACTGCCTGTTGGTGTTGCTTTATGCATTAAAGCTCTGCCTCTTCCTGATACTGCCTCTTTGCAGTGTTCCCCAATGCAAGAAACAACTGGAACTGCTCAGTGTTAAATATGTCCGTGTTTGGTGTTGTAGAACTATCTACCTGGTGTTCTTTATGAAATTCTAATTGTTAGCTAGGTAATTTTTCAAAATAGCATGTGACGTGGACAGACCATTCTACCCTTCTTGTGAACTGACTATCTAGAAAGGGGACTTGGCTACCTCTAAGTGCCCAGCCAGTCAGGGAAGGGACTCGGCTCTATGTGGTGAACCAGTCAGCCAGGGAAGGAACGTGATTGCATTTGATGAAGCAGATCAGCAACACACTGTAGGCTTTAAAAAAAAAAACTCTGACGTTACTTTTCTCCTGTGCCCCTTTATAGACTTAAAATCAAAAGGGAGACTCAGCTGAACAAGGACCCAAGAGATAGAGGTATTTTACGACTACACTTGTACACAGTTGTATAGTTCTTCCTTTTGAATTTTTTTTTCCCTTTTTTTACTCCTAGTCTCTCTATTCATGATTAAAAGAGCATTCTTTCTCCTAAACACAAATTTGACTGTGTTCATCTGGTAAAACCCTTCAAGAGCCTCCAGTGTACTTCATGACCTCATATGGGACTGAAGTGTTGAATGTTTGTGTGATACAGTTGTGATTTTCAGACAGGTAATTCCCAGACCCAGTGAAGGATTTAAAAAGGGGGCAGTTAGAGCCCTGATGATTATCATTGATCCAACTTGGGAAGATTGGAATGAATAGGTGCTATGGTGACCAATTTAAATGTTTTGTTTCTCATACTAGTAAAGAAGGGGAGTAAGGGGGTTGCGGCCTGAAGGCAGAGGAGGGAGAGTAACTGTCAAGTGGGGAGTCTGAATGTATGGGCATGCCCAAGGGCAGGGGCCAGGGAAGAAAGAGGGAGGGCACAAAGGTAAGGAAGTGGGCTTTAGAGTCAGCTGCCTGGGCATGTTACTTCATCTGAATCTCAGGTGTTCTTTCTGTAAGATGGCTACAATAAAGATACTTACCTTACTGTATTATTTTCATGGTTATGTAAGACGAGATTGTTCATGTAGAGCATAGAGCCCAGGACTGCATTTAATGTAATTGTAAATGTTAACTGTTATTAAACCACCACTGTCTTCATGGTAGTCTGTAAGTGCATTCAACCAATAAATATTGTTATTTATTCTTTACTTATTAATATTACTTACAATATTAATGTTATTTGGGATTCAGAAAGAAATCAAATGCAGTAGAGTCAGCTGTTAATTATTCATATGTTATTATCATGAGCAGTTCTAAATTCCAAATTGTTTTTCACATTTTGAAATAGCATTGACTAAAGCAGAATAAATCAGTTTTAGCATTTAAGGTAGCATACTTTGGAAAAAAAGCCTTCTTGAAGCTACAGTACATTTTAGACCCTAGTAGAAATGTTTTAGAAAGCTTTAAACTTAGGTGATCAGGTCGTGCTATTTTAAAATGCTCTTTTTTTCTTTTTTTTGAAACCAATTACTTGAAAGTTGCAGGGCTTATTAGCATTTTAAGTCTCAGTGTGTGTGTTGAAATGCTAGGTGTCTTTCTGCAGCATAGGATTATTTGGTGTTTCCTTGTGCAGCTCTGGATGTTGCTCCAGATGCATGGCTCTTGGCAGGCACTGTGTCTGTATTAGAACTACAAACTTTGTTGCTTTATTGATGTTAATGTTATCATCGGCCACAGTCACAAAGTGTTTGAATTGTCTAATTCATATATTCATATATGTTCCTAAAAGGTGTTTATCATTGGTTACCTTTGACATACCCATTTCTGACTGGTACTGAAGAAGGTAGAACATTTCTAATGGCAGATGCTGCCCAATAATTTGAGTCCTGATGAACTTGTATTATGGTTAAGTTAAATTTCCTTTTTTCCTCCATGACCACCCTCCTGGTTTTGTTTTACTATGTCTAGTCTGGTGTATTCCCTAAGTGGCACATGGCCCA